CCCAGGGATTGCTGCAGGGAAGCTCTCCAGCTGCTGGCCCATTAGTGGGCTGTAAATGGCAGCCACCCCAGCAGGCCTCCCTTTGGCTGCCCAAGGAATGGTGCATACGTGTGCGCGTGGCTGGAGAAGGGTGTTTGGGATCTGTGCCCGGGGCAGGAATCATCAAGGCCTTAGGCAGATGAGCCATAGAAGGGACACGGGGTGGCTGCCTGTCTGTGTGCTGGTGACGGCTCAGGAACTGGCTTCACGGTGTCAGCTGGAAGTGTAACTGCGCTGACTCATCTGTGTGCACGGGTCCTAGTGTGGGCTCAGTGGGGCTCTAATGTCCAGCCGGCTTGGAGCAGCTCCCTGCCACATGCTGTGGTCAGCACTGGCATGGGGTCCCGAGCCAGCCACGCTACTCCCACCTGCCTGGCCTGGCCTGGAGCAGGAGGGGTTGAGCTTGCTGCTTTGGAGCACAGGGAACCAGTGGCCACAACCAAGCCAGGCCGTCTGTGGTGTGTCTGCAGCTCTGTTGGAGAAACCAGGGCTTGGGCAGCCCCTGATTGCCTGCCCCGCAACCTGTTCTGTGCTTCTGGGGCCTTGGCAGGACCTTCACTAGGGAAGGCAGCCCCTGCCCTGTTAGCATGGCCCCAGGTGAGCCCACAACAAAGGAGGTGGCTTGGGGGAGCTCTCAGGGGAGCCGTGAGAGTGAGTACTGGGTAGTGATGGTGGGGATTGGGGTGCAGTGATGCCAGCCTGCCTGCAGCCCCAGAACCAGGCCCAGCAAGAGCAGTGCCCTCAGTGGGGTGAGCTGCAAATAGGCAGGGAAAGATCCCCCCCTGCCCTGCTGCCCCCCATTTCATACCTGCACCCTGCCCTCCTTAGGCTCAGTCCCTGTGCAAGGGTGCCTGGCTGAGTGGACCAGGCCTGCTGTGTGAGGGGTCAGCATGCCATGGGCAGACTGGCAGCCTGACCACGTGGGAAGGCAATGAGCTGCATCCCTGGGATGGTGTAGTTGGACATGGCCTCCATTCTTCCTGCTAGCCTGAGGTGGCTGTGAGGGTGGTGGGGAGGTGGGAGGAAGAGTCCTGCCTCAGGCTGGCTCAGGTGCCTTGAGGTGTGCAAGCTTGGCCTGCCTATTGGTGTGCAACCAGAGCACCTGGGAACCCTGGTCGTGTATTAGCACCCCAAGGTGTCAGGTGCAGCACACCCACAGAGATGCCGATCAGCTCTAATGGGGACAGCATTTCCTAGGTGATGGGGCCAACCTAGGAAAGTCTGTGATACTTTCCATGAAGTCACAAAGGGCAATTTGTAGACTTTATGGCAGGCAGGGACCATTAGACCAGCTGATGGCCACCTGCGTAACCCAGTCCCTGAGAGATGCTTGCACCTGGTGGGCAGAAGGGGTGACCCGGCGCTTGCCTTTCTCACCTCTTTTCACTCCTAGGCCCCAGACCCAGGCTTGGGTGTGACCATGGGGAAGCAGAACAGCAAGCTGCGCCCAGAGATGCTGCAGGACCTGCGGGAGAACACGGAGTTCTCGGACCTGGAGCTGCAGGAGTGGTACAAGGGCTTCCTCAAGGACTGTCCCACCGGGATCCTCAATGTGGAGGAGTTCAAGAAGATCTACGCTAACTTCTTCCCCTACGGCGACGCCTCCAAATTCGCCGAGCACGTCTTCCGCACCTTCGACACCAATGGGGATGGCACCATCGACTTCCGAGAGTTCATAATCGCCCTGAGTGTCACCTCGCGGGGCAAGCTGGAGCAGAAGCTCATGTGGGCCTTCAGCATGTATGACCTGGACGGCAATGGCTACATCAGCCGGGAGGAGATGCTGGAGATCGTGCAGGTACCACGGGGGTTCCTCGGTGTCAGGTGTCTGTGTCTGTGGAGTTCCCTGCACTGGGTGAGGCGGTATTGCCCTCTGTAAGGGCCCAGTCCAGATGCTGGGATGCCCCCGCTTCGTGGCTGCAGTGGGGTGAGGCTGGGGGATCCCACCAGCCAGGTCCCTGCTGTATGCTGCTCTGCGGGCCATCAGTAGAGGTCCTCCAGCAGCTCCCCACCTCTCAGGGCCCCAGCCAGCATGCACCCAACCATCACCCTTTCATCATGAAAGGCTGGGGAGACGGTGCACTCTGTGGCCCCCCAACCTTGGCATCACAGACAACCTGTGGCCTGGGAGCCCCTGCAGTAGCACAGGCCCTTGCTCCCCCACATCGAAGGTCCTGCTTTTCTCCTGCTTTGCCCCCTGCTCAGTGCCTTGCCCCTGTGCAAAGGAAATGTGAAACACCCTCTGGGGATGGAGCCCCATCCCCACACCCCATCCTGCAGTGACGGGGCTAGGGACAGGGCAGCCAGGGAGGGTCTGTGGGTTGGCCTCTTGCCTGAGCCGTGTTTCTCTTGTCCCGGGTGGAGGCAGGCTGCCTGCGTGTGCCCCTCTTGGCAGGAGAGGCTGCTCTGGGCTGAGAGAGTACCAAGAGCTGCTTGCCTTGCTGAGGGAGGGGGCTGCAGGCTAGAAGCAGGAGCAGATTCCCTCCCCCCAGCACTGCGGCAGGAGAGGTTTGCAGGCAGCTTTTGAATAAGGGCAGGCACATAATAGAGAGGCTCCCTGGTTCCCTGCAGGCAGTTCTCTGTTTCCCCCCCTCCCCTTCCCTCCTCTGGGTACAGCTCATTGCTCCCTGCCTGGTGGGGCTGCAGAGAGCAGATTGTGGATCTGAATTTAATGGAGATTAACGGGCTGGATGGTGAGCCGACCAGATTACCGGAGGGCAAGAGTGAGGGCATTGTCCCTCCCAGCCCCTTCTGCCTGGCTCTGGTGCAGCCAGGAGATGTGTGGACACCCGCCCTGCTGTTGTTGGTATATGGGCGGTGTGCCTGGCAGGCTCCGGTTCCCAGGATGGCAGGGTGACACCTGTTTACAGCAAATGTAGCTGTGCCTGGGGGAGCCATGGGTGCAGATCCTGAAGCCAGCTCCTGGGAAGTAAAGCGCCAACACCGTGTCCCATGGGGAGACGGTTGGGCTTGCGGTGGCCCAGCAGGGCTGGTATCATCACTGCTGGGAGCTCGGGGATGCCAGAGGGATCATGGCCGAGGCTGCTAGACCAGGGGGGGATTTGCAGAGAAAGGACCCAGCAGCGTCCAGCCGAGCCCAGGAGCTGGGTGAACGTGGGGTCTGAGATCAGGTGCCAGGGAGGACTTGAGCCCCAGTGTCAGGCTCCTTGGGTGGCCAGAGGGAACCCAACCTGGTCCCCAGTGTGAGCATAGATGTGGGGGCTGGGGTTTGACTGATTCCCCACTTTCCCTTCCTGCTCCCCACAACCCGGCCCAGGCT